ATAGAAGAGCAGAGGTTAAGAGGTACAGGTGCTGCTCGCAGAATTTTTATTTCAGGATTAGTGTTGCCTACAGTATTATTTTGAGGCTTCTGATTGGCTGAGGGAACATCATTACCGCGTCGATACGTTTGATGCCATTGGCCTCGGTGGTGTAGTGGATAGAGTGCTGGGCTGATGATCCGAAGGACCCGGGTTCGAATCCCGCTCGAAGCACTATATATTGTATTGGATTTTTCATTATCAACAAGTTTGGTTGGTTTGGTTAGGTTATGACTGTTTAATTTTATAATTAAACATTATGAAATTGAATTTGACCCATTTATAGTTTTATTTTATGAACAGATTTTTTTTTCGATTAAACCTTCATTTGATTTTTCATTATAAGCAAGTCTGGTTAGTTTGGTTAGATTATGATAGTTTAATTTTAGAATAAAAATTATAAAATAGGATTTGAGGCATTTATAATTTTATTTTATGAACAGAACTATTTTTTTTATTAATAAACCTTCATTAGATTTTTTCATAGTCAGCACGTTTGGTTGGTTAGGTTAGGTTATGACGGATTAATTTCATAATAAAAAAATATTAAATTGAATTTGAGGCATTTATAATTTTATTCTATGAACAAAAATAATTTTTCAATTACCAAACCTTCGTTATAGTCAATCAAGCCTCTAAATGACACTGTTGGCAAAATTAATCCTGAAAAACAAATTGTGCGTTCTGCTCCCGAGATATTCTAAAAATATAAAACAATTATTTCAAAGTAAAGATAAAACATCTGATCACAAATAATAAGGTTTTGGGTTTTGGTTATGTATAAAGAGGCCATATAAAATAGATTTAACATATTTACACATTAAGACTAAAAATTAGAAAATAATTTATAAATAAAAATATTTTTTTTAAATGCCACGTTTTAAACGCACTAAAAAGTATAAAACAATTTATAAAATGTTGAGTGAATAAATACTTGTAAGATTTAAAACGAAAAACGTGGGGCGCATGCAATAGATCATAATAGTTCAATAGGTGAAGTTAATTGTAAATCAGCATGCGCCCCACGTTTTTCGTTTTAATCTTACAAGTATTTATTCTCTCGACATTTTATAAATTATTTTATACTTTTTAGTGCGTTTAAAACGTGGCATTTTTAAAAAGTATTTTTATTTATAAATTATTTTTTTAATTAATTAATTAGGCAATATGACGGAAATTATGATTAATAACACGGGCCATTAAAATACTACTGCCCAAATCTTAGTTTGAATTAATTAAATCTCAATATGTTACAAGACATCCTGTTAGTCTGCAGGTTTGCTGTGATAGATACATTCAGCCACCTAACAACTAAGAAACAAAGTTATTCGAGAAATTGTGGTTTCAATTATTAATATTGCCTATTTTAAAACAATTAATTTGTTATGAAAAGTTTTCAATATGAAATGGCGTAAACTTTTAGATGCCCATCTACAATCAACAACATGAACTAGTGACACATTTCCTCCACAGAGTCATCAAACAATCATTCATCGATCTCAACTGTTGGTCGACATATGAGTAATGATATATACGTGTGAAAATGTCACCTTTGTAACCTACTAATTTAAGTGCAATTATGATTATTATCTTTCATCATTTATCCTCTGCCCCTAAATATATGTTATTATACAATTTATAAAGTAGATAGATTCATTATTTATAGGTAGAAACAATTCTTTCCCGATGAAACAATGTATGTAATACTATGCACGGCTGGAATTACTCCCCTGTATGACAGACAAAGGCGATTTTCCATTATGCTCAAAGGATTCGCAGAGCATACATACAGGCTCTAGTGATTAGATTAGTATTGTCATTCACCAGCTTTGCTGCTATTGGAGGCTTTCTGTTTAACTCTTGTTGATGAAATTGTATTCTATGGTCACCATTCCATAACACCATGGGAAATTCCTTTGTCTGTAATAACACCCAATTTTTATAGTGTGGGGTGACGGAAAAATTTGTTCAATGTACCAACTAATATAAAATTATAATTAAATAAATAGTAAATATTTTGTACTGATTTAAAGTCTTAAAAGTCCTTTTTATACAGAAGATCCCCATTACATTGATGTGGATTGTTATTTTTCATGATAGTTTAAATTCTTCTCGTTCTTTGCTTTCATTAAAATTAATTCCTTCTGCCACTGATTTCCGTTACATACTAATTTCTTTGATGATTTGAGCAAAAACCAAATTGCTCATCACAAAACTATGGATTAGGGCGATTGAATTAAGACTTGAATAGAACTCAAACTGATCCTAAAACAACTGCACCTAAGCTTGATTCATAAAGATGTGTATACTAGGTAACGCGTAACTAGGTTAAATAGTAGCCTATGTCATAGTTTACAACTTGAATATTTATCACAACAATAATAGACAGGGTGGCCTACAAACGATAATTTATATAAAAAAAATAATCATATTTGTGGAAACAAATCGCTAATTTATATATTATTTATCAACAGAAATTGTAATTTGAGAATCAGGTCTTGCATTAAATTATTAATAATTTAACAAGACAAATGTTTATGACAACAGAGGATTCAGATTTTTTGCATTCCAAACTTTCTCAAAGGATTCTTTAGATAGCAGAAACAAATAACCAAGCAATTTATCCAGACATCCAAGTCTTGGATATAAATAGCCACCAGCGTTTTCATTAGCTTTGGCTTTGATTGCTGCAGTCTTATGCCGGATTATTAATATTGCATCCAAAGACGTTTCCGTTGTAGATAGTGCATTTTAATTGAAATTTCGTTTGCTTGGAGTTATATCAGGCTTATTGCATAACTTTGTGGACATAAGAGAATACTATACACTATTTAACTGTTGAATAGTTTTTATTGAAGGGAGTCTTCCAAAGCAGAGAGTACTCTCATAGACCGAGTTACTTCTCTATCAACATAAGTGGAGGGTAAATAGCTCTTTATATACAACTTAAGGAGGTTTCTGAATTGGTCACGGCACTACCAAACCACTAAAACCCTTTCTAGTTGAGGGGATTAGTGAATATCTTGACTAGAGACTTGAGAAGTGAAGCACTAGGCCAGCAACCAAAAAATGTCACCCAGTAATAAGTATTAATACCCACTCCGTAGCAAACCTGCAGAATAAGCAAATTTCCTTTTGCCTGATTGGGGTTTCATTTAAAAATCTTCTTAAAAATTTAATTTCTTACTCTCTACTTTAATATATCATTATTTTAACGAGTACTTATGTTTGCTGCTATAAGGAAGTTTAGTATGAGATATATAAATGTCCAAATATGATCAAAATATGTCCATAATCAAACAAACTACAACCATTTACATTTATTCTCCATAAGAATAACATAGAACTTTTAAATTTACTGTTTTTTGGAGTTTCTCCTGAACTATTACGATAAGCTAAAAACAACGCTTCAATATAGTAAGTTATTTGTTTTTAAGCTACACAAAATGATTTAGAAAGAAATTGCCGTATTTTATGTTTTTAGGGTAAAAATGGGAAAAATCTATTTTTACCCCACAAAGATCCGCCATAAACTCCTCTTCCCATAGTCCGATCATGCTGGTTCACGAACTAATTCGAATAAATGTAGGTTTACACGTTTATACCAAATTCCATAAACATTGGATCATTGTTGCTCGAAACTTTGTGCTCTTAAAAGAGTTGCCCGCAGCCTACAACTACCCGTATCCATCATCAGACTAGGATCAAAGAATTGAAAGGAAGCTGATGATAAGGGTGGTTGTTTAAGCAAATTGTCCTAGGTTTTCCTCTTTCGCATTTGTTTGGTTAGATCTTGTAACTTGTCAGAGTTCTACAGTGTCAAATAAAAAGGTTTACCTGGATAATAAAACTGAGTAATAAGAGATATACACTGCATTTAATTTCTTATGAAAAATAACCTTTATCTGGGAAAGCTACAAAATGTTACATTCAAAGAATGAAAGAATCACTTTTAGGTTTTAAAGACCGCATGTTTATCCACATCAAGCTCGATAAATAAACAAGGTAGATGAAAAATGTATCATAAAATGTATTGTATTTATCTATGTTGCTTTGGTATAAACTCTACTACATATCAAGCCATATTAAAACCACCCAAAGAAAATAAATTTATGCCAATCGCACAATAATTAGTTTTTGCACTCTTAATAGTTTTTTTTTCTTTTTTTTTTAGTTTGAACATCTTAAGAGATTTCTGAACTTTTTTAAGTAATGTGCTTCAACTGTATTAGTGTTCAACAATTTTACAGCTTGTACACTGTTTAACTGGACACGCTCAATGGTAGCGTAGCGTCGTAGGTTGATGGACCGTGGAATGCTGGTTCAAGACCACCACTTCACTGTGGTACCTCTTAAAGCCGGGTTTTCCTAGGCGCTGAGTCGGTGAGCGGAGAGAGGAACGCGGAGAGCGGACTCCACTCGTCTTAGGAAATTTAATGTTACTGTTTTCCTAGAAGCGGAGCGGAATGCCATGTTAATTTCAATTCCGCTCTCCGCGTTCCTCTCTCCGCTCGCCAACTCCGCGCCTAGGAAAACCCAGCTTTAAGGTACTTCACTGTATTTTATTAAATATTGCATAAATAAAAATAAATATTGTAAACAAATAAAGTACATCAGTGTCAATGCATTCACTATTCATTCAACCCACGTTTGTAGTTGCAGTAATTTGATGAATAATTCCAAATTCAACGTGCGGATTACTGTAAATTGTAATAATGAATATTTAACTCTAAAATTACTTATTTTTTTATTGAATTGGGATTGAATTTAATAAATAAAATCCTACACAAAAAAACGGAGTCCTTCATGGAGTCTAAACCTAAACTTCCAAACCAACAGGTAGATTTCACCCGCACCATCATTTTGTTGTTTTATGTTGGTAACAGGGAACGATATTTTTCGGGCAACAGTTTGCCTCCCTGCACCACCCTCAGGTTGGTCAACACAACACAACAGTGCGACGCTTGAGTTTGTTCTGATAGTTGGTCAGTGTTGGTATACCTGAAAAACTTATATTTTAATTTAAGTGATATTTGTCTACAATGGTGTTACATTTTTGGTAAGTGACTGAGTTTTTTCTTAAATTTATAAAGTAGTATTTTTGCTTCGTACGCGGATTTTGTGGAATGAAGAGGCATCCTAGTCATAAAATGCGGTCTACAACACGCTAAAGATTCAAATACAGTAGTAGGCCTTCTGCTTTATTTTATTCTACATAAAACATTAATATTTTTAAAGGCTAAATATTATGTCGTGATTAATGTAAAAAATAAATTTTCTAGGAAAAGCTATTTTAGTCCCATTTACTGTACAAAACATAGATTAAATACAAATTTAACACATTATTTACAGGCAAACATAAATTACATTCTTAAAAATCGACAGGAATTAAAAACCACTTCAACTGCTCAGTTTTCTTTTTTTTCTTTTTTTTTTTTTGAATACCTGGGTAGATTTTATCATTGACTAGGCCTATTGGATATAGAAGATTTTATAAAGTTCGAATGTGTAATCAATTTTGGATTCCATGGTGTACGCATGAGAAATTATTATCACCTGATTTTCAAAACGTAGATTAACATACATGGTTGGTCGAATTTGTATTCATTTTCATAAATAATTTATAAATAAAAAACTTTTATTAAAACAAAACGTTTTTAAACGCAATAAAAAGTAGAAAATAATTTATAAATATGTGAAGATTACAATACTTGTAAGATTTAAAAAGAAAAACGTGGGGTGCATGCAAAAGATAATTTACAATTACCTTCACCTATTAACTAATGTAACTAATGCACCCCACGTTTTTCGTTTTAAATCTTACAAGTATTGTACTCTCCACATATTTAGAAATTACTTTCTACTTTTAAGTGCGTTTAAAAACGTTATGTTTTAATAAAAGTGTTTTATTTATAAATTATTTTCTACTTTTTAGTTTTTTAATGCGTGATATCTATATCAGATTAAGACAGAGGCATGTGGGAAATCTAAGGTTTATTTGAGTTTCTTTTCATATAATTATGTACGAGATTGAATGTATGGCCTACCTACTAACTATAAAATATATCAATCTATTTAATTTATTGTTTACTTTGTAGAATAATAAATAAATAACAATTTACATTATTAACAAACATATTTATATCTGCAATCAGATTGTTTATCTATATTTTGAAATGTTTGTATAAAGAATCTCTTGGGAGCATAACCTGTACCTCTTAACCTCTGCTCTTTGAACTGTCAAATTTAAGTATTTACAGCTGACTTAAATTAATTGATATATTTATTTACATTCTTTCAAAATGTAAACATGGACAATTTGGAAGCCCATGGGGCGTAGCCCAAGGGAAATATGAAAATTAAATGATATAATATGGCATTGTCATCCATTTGTGAGCTATGTTTCAAATTTCAAGTCTCTAGCTCATCGGGAACTTCATTTAAAATTGATATCAAAATTTGTAGGAAAGCGAGCTAATAAAAACAAGCCCATGGGGCGTAGCCCAAGGGAAATATGAAAATTAAATGATATAATATTGCATTGTCTTCCATTTGTGAGCTATGTTTCAAATTTCAAGTCTCTAGCTCATCGGGGAGTATCAAAATTTGCAAGAAAGCGAGTTAATGAAAACAAGCCCATGGGGCGTAGCCCAAGGGAAATATGAAAATTAACGTAAATAATGTTACTGGCAGAAGCCAATTAATCTTTTTTATCTTTAACAATGTGATATTGTTTAAAAGTTTTTATTGTGTTAATCTCTACATCACTAATTTCAATTATGTTGATATTCATTTTAATTTTGGACTGGAATTCAAAATCTCTTGAATACTTAGACAAATTCCGTGATCTTAGATGCGTGTAGGCAGACCATACAAAAGGGATACGACGTAATAGTTTTCTGCGAATGTGCATTGTAATACGGTTTGAGGACTAATCCTAGATTGGTGTACTTTATTTTTGTCAATTTGTTTATTAACTATTTCCATCACTACAAATTTGATATTACGTTTCAAAAAGTGACTGTCTGGAAGATTCTCAAAGCATTATCGAAAATATAAAAAAGATTACGTAAGCTACCTGAATTTATTTGCTGCACATTTAACTACAAAAACATAATATACAGTTATTCGATAATGTCCGGTAAACAGTGGTAAACTGTCGTGCTTTATGCATGAAGTTTCACAGATGTAATGTGCCACCTCATCATCCAAGCATGGACAGAGACAAGGGGATTAATATTAGCTATGCTCTACCTACATCACCCAACATCCAACAAGCTACTTACTACACCTCATGTGTATATGGTTGTATACCAAACACAATAATATTAAAGGCAACGCATTACAGATATTGTAATGTGCCACCTCATCATGCAAGCATGGACAGAGACAAGGGGATTAGCATTAGCTATGCTCTACCTGCATCACCCAGCATCCAACAAGCTACTTACTACACCTGATGTGTATATGGTTGTATACAAAACACAATACTATTAAAGGCAACGCATTACAGATATTGTAATGTGCCACCTCATCATGCAAGCATGGACAGAGACAAGGGGATTAGCATTAGCTATGCTCTACCTGCATCACCCAGCATCCAACAAGCTACTTACTACACCTGATGTGTATATGGTTGTATACAAAACACAATACTATTAAAGGCAACGCATTACAGATATTGTAATGTGCCACCTCATCATGCAAGCATGGACAGAGACAAGGGGATAAGCATTAGCTATGCTCTACCTGCATCACCCAGCATCCAACAAGCTACTTACTACACCTGATGTGTATATGGTTGTATACAAAACACAATACTATTAAAGGCAACGCATTACAGATATTGTAATGTGTCACCTCATCATGCAAGCATGGACAGAGACAAGGGGATTAGCATTAGCTATGCTCTACCTGCATCACCCAACATCCAACAAGCTACTTACTACACCTGATGTGTATATGGTTGTATACAAAACACAATACTATTAAAGGCAACGCATTACAGATATTGTAATGTGCCACCTCATCATGCAAGCATGGACAGAGACAAGGGGATTAGCATTAGCTATGCTCTACCTGCATCACCCAGCATCCAACAAGCTACTTACTACACCTGATGTGTATATGGTTGTATACAAAACACAATACTATTAAAGGCAACGCATTACAGATATTGTAATGTGCCACCTCATCATGCAAGCATGGACAGAGACAAGGGGATAAGCATTAGCTATGCTCTACCTGCATCACCCAGCATCCAACAAGCTACTTACTACACCTGATGTGTATATGGTTGTATACAAAACACAATACTATTAAAGGCAACGCATTACAGATATTGTAATGTGCCACCTCATCATGCAAGCATGGACAGAGACAAGGGGATAAGCATTAGCTATGCTCTACCTACACCAACCAGCATCCAACAAGCTACTTACTACACCTGATGTGTATATGGTTGTATACAAAACACAATACTATTAAAGGCAACTCATTACAGATATTGTAATGCACCACCTCATCATGCAAGCATGGACAGAGACAAGAGGATTAGCATTAGCTATGCTATCTACATCACCCAACATCCAACAAGCTACTTACTAAACCTTATGTGTATATGGTTGTATACAAAACACAATATTATTAAAGGCAACTCACTACAGGTATTGTAATGCGCTACCTCATAATGCAAAGTAGGAGGAACCAGTATCCGAATCTTCGACAACGCTGCCTTGGGCCCTACGTCCGTAGTGTTACTGACCATAGACATATAAAATAAATTTAATTCTTTTGTCTATGTACCGACTAAGCCACCGACTAACCGACATTACGGAAGGAATTAAACACCTAGTTTATATGAATAGTTATATTAATTAACCAAAACGCCACTGCTCCTGCACCTGCACCTATAGAATAATTCCACATAATTTTGGAGGGAAAGTGAGTGGGTTTATATCGATTGGCGGGTTTTATGTTCACTAGAGTTGTTCACGTTACTCTGTGTGCGGGCAACAGAAGCCTTGCGTGAGACGGAAGCCTCACAAACATTCAGTCAGAACTAGGCCTAACCATGCGCGCGATTGCTGCCTTATTGTATAATAGTTCTCACACTTACTATGCTCACTAGTAGATTTAAATTATCGATTTGTGCATGCTTCAACTGTGGATAATCTATGTATCATAGAAGAATTTAGAAAGTAGTTAGAAGAAGTTGTAAAAAGGGTGTATTTTAGTGGAGTCATATAGTGTAGGCCTACTTCCTTCTAATATCCTGTTAAATTTCATGGTGTTTGGATTCAAGGTCTGCAACCATTTTATTCACTTATTTAATATCAAGAACATTCAAATAAACTTGCACAATTTATTCTACGTGGATCTATCTACCAACTGGTAAAAATAAAAATAAAATAGGACCACAGGGAAAGATTCAGCAATATAGTGAACTGAATTGAGTTATTCAAAATCCACTTTTTGTTACTTACGACACTTATTCTTAGCTGAGCAGAACACATTAAAAATTGCTTCCTAGACGCAGCAGTTGCTAATTAAAATACCAAAACATTTCATAATATGGATGGTAACCTGCAAAGAAAATGACTCATGGCTATCGGCATTTCACTTGTCTTCTTTATTCTTTTGGAATACACACACACACCTGAAGACACGCTGCAGATACTCTGGGAAGGAAAAATCTCTTCCTTGTGACAAAGCTGTAGACAATTAAAAAATATGTATAATGTTACCCAATTTAGTCCCCCAGAAAAGTGTGTCACTATGAACATAGGGTTGTTCCTAAAATTTAAATCATTGAAACTAAAAGAGCATCTTTTTTTAGCTGTTTCATGTTATATCGACAGTAAAACACCATATGAGTTGCTAATCCCCTATTGCCTCACTGAGTAGAAAGATTCTGCAGTTGATACGTCCAGATGAGATGCCAACCTCAATGTCAAATGTCAATTCCATATAAACCGGTAAGGTCAAGTAATAATTTCCCACAGGGTTCAAACACGTAGCATTAATAAGATATAAATAAAGTAATAAATAGCACGTCAA